AAGAATTATATGCATCTGTATTCAGAAAGTCATCCATTTATACTATTTTTTAACTAAGGAAGCAAAAGACAGTTTTAATGCTTAAATTGAAAAACCAATCTAATATCTTCTTTTTTTTCCGGAGTACTTAAGCATTAGAGAGTACACTGAAAGCACAGTTTAATTATGGTTATGAGAGCCTTGAGCTTCTGACATTTCAGTCAACGATAATAATAACCATGATCAGTCAAGAAACTTTAAGGTTAGATGATTGGTCTGAAAACACACAGGTGCCACAGCAAAGACAAGAATAGAATTTACTTTTAGAGACATTAAAACACTTTTCCCCAAACCATTCATCACATGCCTTCTAGTCTTTGCAACATACAGGAAAACACAGGGTGCACTTTCTTCTGAACATAAACTTAATGCATTCTCAGAAGATCTTGCACATCAAAGGAGGCAGGGGCTTTGTGGAAGAGCACAGCATGTGAGTGCACTGTCAAACACTGGGTTATAATGCATAAGAGGGTCAAATCAGTGTGCCACAGGTAACACTTTGAGTGCTTTGACTTTGCAATTTAGCATACTTTTCACATAGAAACATGAGTCACTGAACTCTCTTAAAAAGCCTAAAAGCCCACAATAGCAATATCCAAACATAAGTTGCTTAGTACATTATGGGACATGAAGGCAGTGGCAATGATGATGGCAAGAGCAGCAGCAGCTGGTGTGGGCTCTGTGCTGGGCCTCACACTCACAGAAGAAGTGTGTCAGGTCCCTTCTCCAGTCACATGAAAGCACTCCCCTTTCCACTGCTCACACAGTTTGGTTTTTTCCATCTTCCTTAAGGATCAACAACTGTCTGGATAATTTTCTAGCTGAAAGTAGCTTGCAAAGGCTGTGTGCTCTAGCTAGAGTACCAAGGTGTAAAATCACATCAACCTCCAAATTCAGAAATCTGTTAGATCCACGTCAGATTTTACAAGTATGTGGAGCAGCTGGCAGCATTCTTCAACCGCTATTATTTCCTTGGACCAGTCACTAAAACAAAGGGTTTTTCAGTCCCCCTCCCAGCTAGAAGGTGACAGAAAAGGCATATGGACAAGCTGAGCTGAGTTCAGACTCTGGAGGATTTAGGCCTGGAATAATTTTGCTCCTCAAATTCTATTTCAGCCTTAATCCAAACTGCAAGCAATTTTCCCCAAGCTGTGCTGACAATTCAAAGTATTTTCCCGGCCTGTCTGAGAGTGAATGCAGCACATGGCCTAATTACAGGCCTTTAAAACAGTCCAGGAGGTTCCTGGAAACCACTGACAATAATTTCTAGTCACAGGTAGCGGAGGTTCCCACAAGAAATGGTGTGTTGACTAACCAACAAGGAAGGTCTTGTTGATGATGTGAAGGTTGGGGTCAGCCCTGGCTGTAACAGTCATGAGATTGTCCCGTTCAGTATCAAAGAGGTAGCAGGACAGCAACTAAAACTACAACCATTGACTTCAGGAAAGTTAACTTGAATCCCATGGGAGCAGGTCCTGCAGCGAGGTGGGATCCAAGAGAGTTGGTTGTTATTTAAGGCTCACTTCCTCCAGGCTCAAGAACAAGCCATCCCAACAAGAAAGAAATTCAGTCAAGGGCTCATGAAACCTCTGTGGATGAACCAAGAACTGCACAGGAGGTGGAAACAGAGTTAGGCCACTAGGAATAAATAGTGGCCAGAGAGGTGGCCAGAGCAGGTAGATATGAGAAAGCTGGTGGACATCACAGCCAGACCACTCACAATCATCTGTGGAAAGTCATCAAGATCAGGAGAGGTGTCTGAAGACTGGAAAACAACAAATGTCACCCCAATCTTCAAAAGAGTCAAGAAGGAGGATCTGGGGAACTACCAGCCAGTCAGCCTCACCCCAGTCCCTAGAAAGGTACTGCAGTGCCTCATTCTGGAGGCCATCTCTGCCCACATGGAGGATGAGAAGGTGATCAGGAATAGTCATCATGTGTTCACTAAAGGTTTGACCAACCTGATTGCCTTCTACAACGAAACAACTGCCTGGATGGATGAAGGGAGAGCAGTGGACATTGGCTACCTTAACTTCAGCAAGGCTTTTGACACTGTCCCCCACAGCATCCTCACTGAAAAACTTAAGAAGCATGGGTTGGACGAGTTGATAGTAAAGTGTATAGAGAACTGGCTGAGCAGCAGATCCCAGGGAGCTGTGATCAGTGGCACAGAGTCTAGTTGGAGGACTGTCACCAGTGGTGTCCCCCAGGGTTCCATACAGGGCCCAGTTCAACTTATTCATCACTGACTTGGTGGAGGGGACAGAGTGCCTTTTCAGCAAGTTCACTGATGATACAAAGCTGGGAGGAGTGGTTGATACCTTTGAGGGCTGTGCTGCTCTTCAGAGGGACCTCAACAGGTTGGAGAGATGGGCAGAGCAGAACCATCTGAAATTCAACAAGGACAAGTGCAGGGTCCTGCACCTGGGGAGGAATAATCCCAAGCACCAGTACAGGTTGGGCACTGACCTGCTGGAGAGCAGCTCTGCAGAGAAAGACCTGAGGGTGCTAGTGGACAACAAGCTGTCCATGAGTCAACAGTGTGCCCTTGTGGCTAAGGCCAATGGCATTCTGGGATGCATTAAGAAAAGTATTGCCAGCAGGTTGAGGGAGGGGATCCTGCCTCTCTAGTCAGCCCATGTGAGGCCACACCTGGAGTATTGTATCCAGTTCTGGACTCCTCAGTACAAGAGGGACATGGAGCTCCTGGAGCTGGTCCAGTGGAAGGCAATGACGATGATTAAGGGACTGGAGCACCTCACTGATGAGGAAAGGCTGAAGGAGTTGGGCCTATTCAGTCCCAAGAAGAGATGACTGAGAGGGACCTCATTAACGTATTCAAGTACATGAACAGAGGGTGCCAAGATGATGGAGCCAGATTGTTCTCAGTTGTAGAAACCAGTAAAACAACATGTACCAGGCAAAAACTGATGCACAGGAAATTCTACCTGAATACAACAAAGAACTTCTTCACTGTGTGAGTCACTGAGCACTAGAACAGATTGCCCAGAGAGATCATGGATGCTCCCTCATTGGAGGCATTCGAGAACCATCTGGACATAATCCTGTGCCATATGGTGTAGGATGGCCCCGCTCAAGTAGGGAGGTTGGACCAGATTGTGGTCCCTTCCAACCCAACTGGTTCTGTGATTCTGTGAAAAAAAAGTACCCAACTGTGTAGCAAAGCTGGGCCTAGTGTGCTGATTTTTGTTACATCGAGAAGATTCTGGTAAAATAGCCTGGTAGTGGCCCCTCAAACCAGTAGGCTGAAGACCTTTTTCTAGTCTGACTACATCCTTTCACCCTTCTACTGAATTTTATCATGACATCTTCCACCCCCTGCATCACTTTTAGTCCATTTTCCAATCTGCATATTTAGTTACAGACTGCATTGCAGTATGACTTTCTCTTCCTTTGCTCTGCAAGGGTGTCTGCAGAGCAAAGTCAGATATGGATACCTCCAGGGATCAGAATAGAGAGGGAGGAAAGAAGCATCCTTCAGCTTTGATAAAATATATACCTTTTATTCAAACGAACTGCAACAAACAGAAGCCTCAAGTGCAGCAGAAGACTCTCAGTACTTCAACGTATCCATCAATGAATATATATAGCCAGTCTGGCAATCACAGAGAGGCTGTAAGTAGCTGGGCTGTATTAAGATGGATTCTTCAGAAAACTTTACTTTCCATATTTTACTTTTATTCTGAAAATTTCAAAACTAGACTAATTGTGGCTATTTCTTTATAAGAATAGCGACAGAGCCTAACGATGAGCCATATCAAGGAGTGACTAGTGCTAACACTGATGTTTGTAAAATTTCTTTTCAGCTGAGGGACAATGTCCTAGTTTTTTGGGAACTACTGACCTAACTAGCTAAAATGAAGGCTCTGTGTATTAAAACTGATGAATAAATACAGCCTTTTAGTATCACTGCATTCAAAAGGTAACTTGGAAGCTAAGGAAACTGACGCTTAAATTCTTGAATATTGCTTAATTCTAAAACTGTCAGTACTGGAAATCAGCTAAAGTATTTTAAGAATAAGTCTGATTCCCATAATATATAGCTACATTTTACATGGTAAATTCAGAAGTCTTCTATGCACAGCATATGGAATCTCTCCTTCCTGTCTATTCCTTTCCTTGACTATATTAACATCTCCAATTTTTAACTTTATGTCATATAACTATAAATTTCAAGTTTGATTTCCTTAATTTTTTTTGCTTCACTCTCAGCTTTATGATATCATCAATATTAAATGGAACTATGATCACTCTTTAAAAAATTCCTCTTAGACTCTCACAATTACTCAAAGCTTCCTTTTACACACTCGTATTATGAAAAAATAGGAAAATATGGCACAGGCAATAGGAGTCCTAAACACTTCTGATACAACAGATCTTGGTCCATACTGCTGAAAATGTCAGTGTTCAGCAACTTAACTACCTCCTAACTACTTCTCTATGCAAAGCCTTACAATTATATCTTTGTGTTTAATATCTTGTACAGGACAATAATTCTGATGCCTGTAGTTCCTCTATTGCCTCTTATTTCAGCGACCTATAAACTCTTTACACATAAAGTTCTATGTAAAGTTTACTCCTCCCCCTCCTTTCATTCCCCGGTTCCCTGTTGTAAACAATTAACCTTCAGTATCCAGTTACCTTGTGACAGGACAGCAAAAGTCAGGGTATGTCAAGCCTTAAACACTTGCATAAAACAAACAGGGAAGATAAACAAGAAAAGGTATTTTATATCAGCTGATGAGAGCAGAAAGAACAAAAATAGCTTCAATATCCTTGCGTTAACACATGCAAGACAATAAAGTGCCACTAACATAAGCATGCATTTTCATTACGGCTAGGCAAAAAATCCCAAAAAACAGTTTATAGCTAGAACACCATAAAATGGGTCAGCTTAGCCTATTTCAGTACACAGATTCTGAAATGGCTGCTATACTAACCTTGGCTGGTCAGAATTCCCCAGCTAGCTTTCCGTTTGGCAGGACACTCCCCTATACTTTCTAGGCGTCTTTTGGGGAGATTCTGGCTCCCCTGAACAGCAGTGTTTGTTGTCATGATTTGTTTCTCGAGGAAAGCCTGTCTGTCATTGGTGCAGGTATTCTGGTCTGACGAACATCCACAAATGGATTTCAAGTACCTTTTTTTCCTCCTTTCGCTTTTTCACAAAGGATCTTGCTGTACTTACTGTAGAATGGCTACAACACTGAAATCCATTCAGTAACATTTACTAGCTTGGACTAGTGACTACACAGTGGGGGAAGGGAAGGACTGCTCTAACATTTTCTATTTTTAAAACAGAGAAAGAATCAGCTTAGCTACAGCATGAGTCTTAACTATTTGCATGATTTAAATGGAAAGAAGGTGTTAATTTTTTAATCATTTAACACAAAAAAGAAACAGAATCCTAAAGCCTATGCTTTGCTACTTGAATATCAAGCAACCTAAACCAGAAAAACTAAACTATTTTATCATAATGGAAGTTCTTATAAGAATAGAAACAACAATTATTACTGCATCAGGCTTTACTCATATGTAAAATGCAAAGAGAGATTTTGGAATTCAGAAGAACAAGCAATTCCCTTCAGTTGCAGGCACTGAAAATATAAAAACCTTACTTTCTGTACTGAAAGCAATAAAAATCCATGAAACCATGAAGCTTTCCTGGGTTTTTCTGTGGTTTGTTTTTGTTTGTTTGTTTTTTTTAAATAGGGGGAAAGGTATCCTACAAATGTCAACCAGAATCTATATCCTGAACAAATAAAAGCATGTTTTGACTATCATAAAAAAAAAAGGTTATTTTGAAAGTCTCATCCCCCTACGAAAGCAAGCCTGTAGTCTTATCAGAAGCAGCACAGGTCAGTGTTTTTTTAAAACAATTATAAACCCAACCATAAAGTACTAGAATTTATTTGTTTGTTACTATGTATCAGGCTTACACTATACAACAGAAATCTGTAGAGAGAAGCAGATCATGATAAAATTCCAGCATGGTTAAAGAGGACAGGGATTTCCCTGTACCAATAACATGTTAAAAAGCCACCTTTACCTGCCACTTCCTTCTAGTATTGCCTCACTATCCTCTTCTATGGATGTAAAAACTAGCCACTTGTAAATTTTTTAAAAGCAAATCAACATTACTGGCTTTCACTAATACTACTCTTTTCAGGTCCCTGGCAAAACTTCATCCCTAAAATGCTGAAATAATACACAGGTATCTAATAAAATTTTCTATCTCCCTCTTGGTTTACTTTAAGAGAAAATCAGAGGTGAGATCAGAGTTAGGTAGAGTGAGGGGAAGATGAAGAAGCAGCTGTAAATTTCTCTTTGAAATTACAGCACATCAGAACTGCCTTACTTGGAATGGCTCTACACCCTTTACAGAACAGAAGCAGGTGGGCTACCGTTATTCTTGCAAGACAGAACAAAACTGCACTCTCATAGACATTTCAGACAGCTGTTTTCCTCAGGTTTTATCTAGCTGAATGAACCAAAATATCTCACAGACTGAAATAAATACTTTGACACCTACAGCAATCAGATTCTGCAAGCAAGTCTTGATCAGAGCATTCACAAGGGCTCATTAGAAAGGACACATTATAAATATATCCTTTAATACCAGAATTATTTGTTACTTTGTAGGGCTTTCTTTAAACACATAAATACTGGAAGAGGAATTAACAGGAAAGCTTACTAAGGACGTGTACACATACATCTGTGCAGGAAGATACCAGCACTATTCTCCAGGTGAGAAATAAACACTGACGATTTCTGTACTTGCCATGGCTCTGAGGCTCATCTCAGTTTTACACTTCCTTTCCATTTGGAATGGAATCCTACATCTTTCAGAAGGTGGTGAGGATTAGGATCAAGCAAAGCATCTGGAACTGCAAGGCAGGGATTGACAGTGGGCTGGGAATACAAGACCTACATATTTTTGTAGCAGTTTTGTGGGTGTCAGCTGAGAATGGAGCTGGGTCCTTCTATGGGAGTGGTACAAGCCTGGAAGTAGTTCACACAGCTTGCTTTCCACAGACATTCCAGCCTCCATTCTCTTGCGGGTCTCAGAGGTGTGATTTTCAGGACCAAGGAAACCAGCAAGTACACAGACAGCTGCCATGGCTTCAAAGAGGAAGATCCCCAAGAGAGTCAGCATCACCTGCTCATTCATCCTGAGAACTGTGTAGGAAGCAATGAGCTACGAATGGAGTTGGACCACTCCCGAAATCCTCCACCTTCAAGGTGTGGGTTCTAGGAAGACTATCTCTATTCCATAGACACTACCCAGTCAATAAGTTACTTTGAATACTTTAGAGGACATCAGAATTCAAAGTATAAAAATATGCATTTTCCTGCTTTAAAGAAGGAAAGGCTTATTCAGTTCTAGAAGAAACTTTTCACTAAATTCTGCTCAGCACAGCCATTCATCCTCCAGGCAAAAGCCATTAAGAAGTCCAGTTCATAAATACAAGCCTGAAAAAAGTGAAAGCCAAAACAGCATCAGAAAAAAAAACCGCTGGAATTGTATTAAAAATATATGTGAGATATTAATCTAAAAAGAAGATGAACATACAGTTAAACCCATGGAAGAAGACTGAAGAGCTCACTATTTCACTTCCACCTCTAACATGGAATTGCTATGTGATCTTTTTCAAGTTATCCATCAACGCACTGGCCTATACCAGCTACAAAATAAAAATCAGTATCCCTCAACTTCATTAGCTAATAAAACTATTAACATTTGAAACTACTTAGGCTTAGTCCTCAGATTCTGCTGTTCAGAATTTTCTATAGAGAAAAAAAAGACACTCAAACACTTCCAAAATCTGCCTGAAAACCTGTCACATAAGTCTAAGTAGATATCCAAGCATGTAAAAAATACAGTTGTCTATTACTTTCCCTGACTTGGCACACAAGCAATTAGGGGCAGTATTTAGATTATAGCTACTTATGGAAGTAGAGCAGCCAGGGGAAGGGGCAGACACTACAGTCTGAGACTAAGGAAACTGGAGGATTTTACTGATGAGTCTGAAATTCTAACTTAATTTAGTATACAAGCTTTAAATAAACCACTAATAATTACTTCTGTTAGACTTTTACAATCCAGGGGAAGAACTGTCAAAGGAAACTTTCATGATCTTTTTTTATCCAGATTTTTAGAAGATGAAATGTCAGTACAGTTTCAGCATTTCCATGTCAGCAAATAGCTCTGAGTTTAAAGGGGCAGCAGTTCTTAACAGGTGGGAGTGAAAATGGAAAAAAAAAAATCTTTGTTCCTCCCTTTCAATAGGGAGCTCATTCTATCTTCAAGACTGTTCTTTAGGCAATAAAGATGCAATTGTGATCATACACACACAAAAATGTGCTAAAAACAACCCAACAATGCTAAAAACCCCCACACCCTTCAACACATGATGCAGCCCAATGCATTACAGTCCAAACTTCTATTACAACAATTTAGGAAAAAGTGGACAAAATTGCACTCTTTTCAAATGTCACAGATCACTGTTTTATGTACAACCCTGCCAAGCTAGCCAACTGATGAGCTATCTCACTTCCCAAACTGCTGTGTACCTTCAGATTCACTCTATTTTTATGACCAGGATTATTATGGGGTCACAGTGACTGCACAGAACCTGTCACACTAAATTCTGGAACAGGACTAGAAACTGACT